TGGAGGGGAAGGACCTCAGCATGGTACAACGCCATAGAGTCCATCCTCCAAAGCAGGGGTCTTTTGGGGCCGGAGCGCGCCGGAGTGCCGCTCCGGCAGCCCAGGAGCCGCGCAAATAGTGGCAGTGGCAAGCCCCGCCCCCAGCTCCCCACGTCGAAGCGCTGGGGCCGGGGGGAGGCACAGAGAGCCACGCAGCCGGGTTCCCAGTGCCTGTGCCGAAGTGGTGGGGCCAGGGGGAGGCGTGGAGAGCCCCGCTGCCGGCTTCCTCGGCCTGTGCCGAAGCGGCCGGTAAGGGATCAAACAAAACAAACAACTTTATTAAGAACAGTCATAAGACCAGCAAAATAAACCAAACTAGTACAACACCGAGTCTACGACATAGAATCCTTGCAGCCTTAAATACTAAAATACAAAACTGGTCAATTCCGTCATTAATGGCTCGAGTTACAGTACATTCTACGCTTTTTAATTACCAGATAATGATATTTAGCAACATTGCGTGAGACAGAATCATAAGTATCGGCCAATAAGAACTTCATCAAACATTCCTCGGCATATGTAAGATAATTAGCCAAGGGTTTAAAACGTGAGAGAAGGGGTATCAACAACTGCTGTCTCTCTTCGTCATACATAGGACAATGGAGTAATATATGGGAGGCCGACTCCACCTGTTCTAAGAAACAGGAGCAAATTCTCTGGTGCATGGGAGTCCACCAGTAAGGGATCCGCAGGGGTGGCTTGATGGGGGGGGGAGAGCCTCCCTCTCTTTGCCATCTTTCCCTTTCTTTCCCTTCTCTTCCTCTCTTTTCCTCTTTCTTTCCTTCTCTCCTTTCCTTCTCTTTTTTCTTCTTTCCCTCCTTCTTCCCTTCTTTCTTTCTTTCCTGCCTTCTCTTCTCTTTTCCCCTCCTTCCCTTTTCTCTTTCTTTCCATCCTTCTTTCCTTTCTTTCCCTTTCCTTCTCTCTTTTTATCCCCTCTTTCCTTCTCTTTCTTTCCTTCTCTCTACTCTCTCTCTCTCCTTCCCTCTTTCCTCCTTCTGTGGCCCAACTCTAGTGAGAAGGGGTTTAAAGTTCTCTCTTTGGCCCCCCTTCCACAGGCCAGCTGGGGATGGGAAGGGGAGGCTTTTGAAGATGCCTCCCCCCCCCTTTGCTTCCCCTTCTGACATAACTTCTGTTGATGTCAGGGGGCGTGGCATATGCTAACGAGCTCCTGCAGCTCTTTTTCTCTGAAAAGTCCCCTGCTCCAAAGCATCCAGTTTCTACAGGGGAACTATCCACTGGAGAGCAGTTGTAAAACCCTACCCTGGAGAGCCACTGCCCATCTGGATAGACAGTAGTGATCTTGATGGACCAAGAGTCTGATTCAGTGTAAGGCAGCTTGATGCATTCATGTGTGTGTCTTCTGTACAGCCATCAGTGGTGTAGTGGTTAAGAGCATGGACTCCAGGCCCGTAGCCAGGGTTTTGTAATTCAAGGGGCCTTTAAATAAGTCAGGGGGCACTGATGTCACAAAATAAAAAATATATTTAAAAAAAAATAAAACTCACTTTTGTGGTGTTCGTATTCTGCTTGCCTACAAGGGGAAGCAAGCCATGCTTGGGGAAGGGGCGGCAATGGGGAGTCCTCCAGGCAGCCCAGAGAGCTGGAAGGCCTTGGGGGCTGGATGGAAGTCAGGGGGCCTTGGCAGGAAGTCAGGGGGCCAGGCCCCCAAATGCCCCGCTATAGCTAGGGGCCTGCTGTAATCTGGGAGAACCGGGTCTGATTCCCCACCCCTCCACATACTGCTTCTGGTGTGACCTTGGGTCAGTCATAAATTCTTTCAGAGCTGTTCTCTCAAGGGCAGTTCTTGGAAAAATCTCTCACAGGGTGTCTGTTGTGAGGACGGGAAGGGATTGTAAACGCTCTGAGACTGGGGTAGCACAGGGTGGGGTATAAATCCAATCTTTTTCGACATAGTTCTCAAACATGCAGCAAGGGAAAGTCATTTTTTGGATTTCTAGCGAAAGGAAATCCCCTCCTTCTCGCACATATTACCCACTCACCCCCAATCCGATTGCAGCAGCACATTCACTTTGCTCTCTGCTAAAAGGTGCCGCTCTCTTTTTACGGTTTGAAACGGAGATTACGAATAAAACCAGGTCCGGAGGGATGGTTTGTTCGAATTTCTTTAAAGACCGTGCGACCGTCTGTTGAGATTTGACTTCTGGGGGCTTAAACTGCCATTTGAGCAGATGTGGACTGCCCACCTCCCCCCCCAAAAAGACGTTCAAGCAGAAACGGGAAATCAGGGCGAAAGTCCAAGCTCCAGACCGCCTAAGCAGCCGGGCTGATCAGATCCACTGGGGAAAACCGCCCGAAACCCAAAACCGAGGCAAGACTCTTTCGTGAGGAGGACACGTAACGGCGCGCAACCCTTGAGGAAGAAAACCCAACAACACTGTCTGTTTCCATAGTTACTGGATACGCATGCGCCTGAGCGGTTTCGAACGGGCTCGAACGCCCTCTTTACAGGGCTATTGGACAGAGGGAGGGTTGTTAGGGCGCCTGCGCGGTGGCGGGATGGATCGAATTGAGCGGAAGCCGCGAGATGGAAGCGGAGGAGCTTCGTTTGGGCGGGTGACTAGAGCGCTTTCTTCGGGGGAGGGGTGTGGGGGAACGACCATACGCCCCCCCCCACTGTCGGCGGTGGGGAGGAAGCGAGCGGGCCAAGGTTCTTTGCTGAATAACTGTCCCGCCGTTGCGTCACCCGTTCTCACGTCCTTGCTGGAGTTAGAGGAGCTGCGTGTATTGAGGCGGACAAGCGATTTTGTGAACGTCCCCCTGAAGCTTCTCCCGCCTTTTCCCCATTCTGGTATGGGAAACTCCTGGAGATTTGAGGGTGGAGCCGGAGGGGGGGGTAGAGTTTTGGAAGGGGAGAGACCTCAGTGGGCCTATAACGGCAAGGAGTCCACCCTCCAAAGCAGCCGTTTCCCCAAGGAGAATTGGTCCTTGTCGCCTGGAGATAAGTTCTAATACCGGGAGGTCTCAAGGCCCCACCGGGAGATCTCCAGGCCCCACCGGGAGGTTGGCAAGCCTTCTTTGGTGGTTTTTACATTCTCCTGTAGTGCTGCTGGCCTTTGCCAGTGGGCAAATGCACAGTGCTTCTCTAGCAACTTTGTGAAAGGTGAACACGCAGTAAGTTGGACTTTCCTCATTGCATCTCTGGGCTTGCGGGGGGGGGGGGTTCTGCAGGAGGTTTTGGAAGGTGCTTGAAGAAGCCACGTCTCATGAAGTTGTCCTTTCCACACAAATATGAGTTGGGCCATTTGTTAGATTCTCCAGTGGTTCTGGAAAGTGGTGTGTGATACAGTTGAATCCTGGACCCTCTGCACAACACTGTGAAGTCTGGGTGACAGCACAAATGGAAAGTGTGGTAGCTTTTGGCCAGTGGTTTCTAATCTTCCTGAAGTTGTGCCCACTTCTTAACTTGCTCTGTGTCTTGGGACCCGCTTACAAAATAACTCTGCCCTATTTTCCTCTCACTATGAATCCAAGAATATTACATCATTACATTGAGCTCATTTATATTTGAATTATTTGTGTGTAATGTTTATTAATTGATAGCTTATTGAGCAGCAAGCTAGAATTCATTGCTTTTTTTCAAGCAGAAGGAAACCTATATTTACCTTCAGGCCTTCCAGAGCGTCCCTTCCTTGCTCACTTTATTCCATCTCGTTCTACCTGATCTCATGATCCACCTATGAGAGAGCTGCAGCCAGCTTCTGGGTCTTGCCTCACAATCTGAGAATTTAGGTAGAAAGAAATGCAGGAGAAAGATGGGGCTGGTGAAAAACATTGACTTAAAACGCAGAAGAACCCAAGACTTATTTTGTGTGTGTGTTATTAACTTTTCAGTGCGGAAGTGAGCCTTCCAACGGAGCAAACTGAACAAGTAAGAACTAGTTTTAAAGTGTATGGATCGTCTACTGTTAAAGTAAATCTACACCAATCTGAATCTGCGCTTAAGGTTGGCACATTTTTCCATGCAGAAACAGCCTGTAAATGTGCTGGGACATTTTATTTATTTAAAACAGTTATATGCCACCTTTCCACCCAAGGTGGTGAATATCATGACATTAAAACAAAATTTAAGTATATACCGTATATAAATATTTGACAGCACAATTTAATATATATTTGCATACAAGAGCCAGTCTGGTGTAGAGGTTAAGTGTGTGGACTGTAATCTGGGAGAACCGGGTTTGATTCCCCACTCCTCCACTTGCACCTGCTGGATGACCTTGGGCAAGCCATAGTTCTGTCAGAGGTGTTCTTGAAAAAGAGCATTTTCTCTCATAGCTTTCTCAGCCCCACCTACCTCACAGGGTGTCTGTTGCGGGGAGGGGAAGGGAAAGGAGTTTGTAAGCCGTTCTGAGACTCCTTTGGGTACTGAAGGGTGGAGTATAAGTCCAATCTCTTCTTCTACAAGCAAACACAACTGGGGAAGAGGACCAGGAAGAGTTAAGGGGGGGTGGGGTATTTATTTTATTTATTTTATGATTTATAGCCCTACCCCACCGAAGCAGGCTCAGGGTGGCTTACATGGGATAAAATTCACAATAACAATCAAAAGTTCATAAAACATTTTAAAACAGTTCATTAAAACAATACAGTGTTAAAAGTGCTAGCTTTATCGTAATGCCAAATGGTATGAAAAAGTCTTCACCTGCTGGCGGAAGACTCTGACAGATGGAGACACACAACTCTCCACAGGGAGGGAGTTCCAGAGTTTTGGCACCGCAGCTGAGAAGGCCTTTTCTCGGGTTGCCACCTGTCTAGCCTCAGAGGGTGCAGGAACCCAAAGCAAGACCTCCAAAGGTGACTGGTCTGGTTGGTTAGGTTAATACGGGACAAGGCGGCCCTTAAGGGATGCTGGTCCCAAGCTGTATAAGTCTTTAAAGGTCAATATCAGCACCTTGAAATTGGCCTGGAAGCAAACTGGAAGTAAGTGTAGGTGAAACAAGACTGGAATAATACGGTCCCTGCAACCCAGAGGGTTGCCACTTTCTGGAAAGTCAGGGAAATGGAAATTGGTCTGAAGTCAGGGAAAGACAGGGAAATTGTGATTAAAATCTATTCAATCCGTGGATTTTTGACCTGGTGCTGCAAGAGCATGATCTGTTCTTGTGGCAACTGGAATAGAGAAGTGGCAGAACACAAGTAGAACTGAATGATGCCCTTTCCCAACCATTTTAGATAGAACGTTTATATAATTTTTAGTGTACCTTTAAAACAACAACAAAAATGTTATGTCAGTTGTTAGCATTCAGAGTTTACTTGAATTGAAGTTTGTATCTTGGTGTAATTTTTGGTGCACTTGCAAAACAGATGTTGCTGCAGTTAATGTTGAAAGAAGCTGATATTAAATCTCTTACTCTGACAAATATTTTTGCAGTTGAGACTTGTGTAGTTGTAGAGTAGAACATTTCATTAAGCCTTGCATTAATGGAACACAACCTTTTCATTTTTTTAACTTGTGGTTATATTTGCATGGTGGTCAAGGAAATTGACAAACATTGGTCAGAAAAAGTCAGGGAAATGAAAAATAAATTTTAGTGGCAACCATGAACCCACTCCGCTTAATTTTCTGGCCACAGCATTCTGCACGAAGTGTTGCTTCCAGACAGTCTTCCTCGTTATACTGATTTAATACTGATGATTTTATTGATTCTAATGAATTATTATAATATGTTTAAATTTGTAAGTCTGCATTAATTGCAGATGTATATGTTGGTACCCGGCCTGAGCCTACAATATGGGGAAGGCAGGATATAAGTCTAATAAAATAAATAAATAAATTTTTATTTTTATGAACAAAAGAAAATATACAATACATTACTACAATTATACACAGACAATCGTCTTACGTGGACATAGACATAAGCATAGAGTTGAACATAATCATCTACTTTATCTATTATATCTAATTCCTACGTGACCTACATACTGATCTATTTATTACAGCTGTCAATCAGAACTTACTTGGTTGCATAAGATTTATTTCTATATACTCTAAATTTTCACTTCTGTTTTATCTATATTCTGTATTTTCTTCATTCCTTCATATCTGACATTTTGTTATTACAAACATGTATTGCCTGACTCTGTCTTCTAATTATTCTCCGCTTTAACAATTCAGTCCTGATTTTCAGCTATATAGTCAAAAAGTATGTTCCATTCTTTCAGGCAGTCTTCAAGAGCAGCCCTGCGCAGAGCAAGAATTCAGGTACAGCTTTTTCAAGGGGTCCTGCCCTTGTTGAGTTTCTGCATATCATTTAGCCATTTAAAACACAGCTTCCTTTAAGGGGAAAAAGGTAGAAATCCTATCCATACTGTAGTGGCAGTCCAAGATATTTGAGGCTCAAATAAAACAGAATTGAATCTGGGGAGATAAAAGGTCTGGGGATACCAATACCCTGCCCTACTGCAAGGTGAAAATGGAATTTTAAAGGGAATCATGGGACTGGCTGTACACACTTTGAAACAGAAGCCTAGCAATCAGCTTGGATCTAACTTCAATGTGCATTGGATCAGAAATAATTCTGGTGGTCACATGGGGCATTCAGGGTTTGACAAAGTACAGCTGAGATGACTGAGAGGTGATATGATACCATCTTCACGTACTTGAAGGGCTGTCATATAGAGGATGGTGTGGAGTTGATTTCTGTTGCCCCAGAAGTTGGACCAGAACCAACGGGTTGAAATTAAATCAAGAGTTTTCGGCTAAATATTAGGAAGAACTTCCTGACAGAGTGGTTCCTCAGTGGAACAGGCTTCCTCGGGAGGTGGTGGGCTCTCCTCCTTTGGAGGTTTTCAAACAGAGTCTAGATGGCCATCTGACAGCAATGCTGATTCTGTGAACTTAGGCAGATCATGAGAGGGAGGGCAGGAAGGGTTGCCTCAGTGCTTAGTTCTTACGGCCCTTTCTTACACGCCCAGGGAAATGCTGATCATCATTTTGGAGTCAGGAAGCAATTTTTCTCCAGGCCAGTTTGGCTGAGGATCCTGGAGATTTTTTGCCATCTTCTAGGCATGGAGCAGGGGTCACTGGGGGTGTGGAGGGGGAGGTATTTGTGAGTTTCATGCATTGTGCATGGAGTTGGTCTAGATGACCCTGGAGATCCCTTCCAACTCTTATGATTCTATGATTTGAAGTTAATTGAAACAAAATCATGCCAGATTAACTCACTGCCAACCTGCTGAAAATCTTGGAAGCAGGAAGAATATTTCCAAACAGGCAGTGAAATTCACTGTGTGCCTCTTGTGAGAGAAGCATAAGGAGTATTCCTTTAAGTGTCTAATTCCCCCCACCCTGAGTCTGATAGCAAGTTGCAGGGTGTGTGTTTGTTTGAAATCTCCACAACATCCCATGAAAAATAACTATTTTTGTTTAGAACTCCTCTCGGGAACCAAAGCCAAGCTTTGAAGATGGAGCACATGGTTCTGAAGCATTAGGTAAAGGACTTACTATATTTAGAAACATTTTGCATGTGTAACTTCAAAACCGAGCTTTGAAGATGGAGCACATGGTTCTGAAGCATTAGGTAAAGGACTTACTATATTTAGAAACATTTTGCATGTGTAACACAGGCATCGGTCTACTGTCCCCAATAGGACCATTAAATAAAAGCCTTCAAGAAAAGCTTAATTCTGAACCAAGTTCTGCCAATTTGCTTAGCCCTTGCCTGGACAAAAACTGTACTTAACCAATCAGCATGGAGACTGAACAGAGAAATTAAAAAAAAAACACAACACTTTGGGAGCTTCATTGAGAGTGACCACAGTCCCCCCCCCCCCCCCCCCCACACCTCCTTAGGTGCAGAAAGTATAATTTTATTCAATAGCTTTGTTCCACTGTCCCTTTCTTTTCAGTAGGGGGTCAAAATGTTCCAGCGTCAGAGTATACACCATACTCTTTGCTGTTGTATACACTGAGACCATTTTTAGCTATTTACCTATTTATTTATTTTACCCTTGCCTTCCCTGCAAGGCCCATCTATTGGAACCTTTAAAAGGAAAAGAGCTTTTTTTTTTTTTGGTGCCAGTACATCAGAGGTCCCCAACTTTTTTGAGCGTGCAGGCAGCTTTGGAATTCTGGCACAGTTTGGTGGGCGCAGCCAGTTGCCATTGTGGGCAGAGCCAGACACAAAATGATTTAACTTCAGTCACCCAGTGGAGGTCTTTGTGCTGTGGTGACAGCTGCTGCCAAAGTAACATTTAAAAAAAAATGTGCACAGCCAATCAGAAGCCTTGCTAGGCAAAAGCCCCACCTGCTTTCTAAAAACTCTTGGTGGGCAAAGGTGCCCAACAAGCACCACGTTGGGGACCCCTGCACTAGATTCCTGAGTCAGTGGGCTGATTTCCTTTGAGTTAATTTTCAACTCTGAGCAGTATTTCTTCCTCTATTTCAGAGGATCCCCGCAGCCAGGAGGAAATGGAAGCTGCGTGTTTTCCCAGCCCAAAGGGAACGGCTAGTTCCGGAGGTGATGCTCAAGCTGACAGTAGGACCAGTCCCTCCGGGACGAGCAAGAAAAAACGTAGGCCTCCCACTCCCAAGAAGGCTGAGGATTGTGGCCCCAGCCCGAAGAGAACTTCTCTCCAGAGACTGAATCCTGACATCGGGAAGGCTTCTACTTCATTTGACGTTTCCTTGGGGCAGCTCCCCAGCCAGCGAGTCTCACGCCCGTCTTTGTGCCGCCGCAGTATGAAACAGGATCGCCGGACGTCTTTGCCGCCTCTACACGCAGACGTTACTGGTAGGTTTCCCAGCACACCTTGATGATTAAGCTGGCTAAGAACCAGGTAGATAGAGCTTTCCTATCCCAAATTCCGAATGAGCTACCTTTAAACGTACATAGCTGTAAAGCAGACTTACACAGGACCTGAAACTTCCACTGAATGGGACACTCCC